CAAGAATAGATTAGTGAAATGTCACTAATAAAGCAATCAGACAGGATGAAATGATGATGTCAGCAAACGGAGAACTGCTGATTTTTCACCAATCCAGCAGTTTAAGGGTGATATTTTCAGAAAAAGAAAGTTCAAGGGGCAATCTTACACAATCGATGAGTTTAGGTGGTTAAAATGCCATTCTTCTCGTAAAACTTTCCCAGTGAAGTGTCACAAATAAAGTAGTCAGACAGGACCAAGGGGACGAGGTGACGTTTAATTGGTTGAAAGACCTTGAAACGATGTCGTTCAGAGCACAATGAATTCAAGTTTTCTCACAAAGAGTAAGCCTCCCACCCCCCTTCATTTTCCTTTTTGGGTTATCCTCCACCCTCCATCTTTTTAAGGTGCGAACCTGCCACCCCTTCATCTTTTCCGGCGAGATCAAGATGGCATCTTCAGTGTCAACACTGTCTTTTGCATTTTCCCGCCTAAATTTCATTCCAAAACCCTTACTGTCATCACCTCTAAAAACACTAAAATGGCAGAAGCAACTGCTTCTAACCGCCAGACACTCTCCCCTCTTTTCTTCTCCTTCCTCATCGTTTTCCTTATCTTCTCACTTCTCCACTATAAGAAACTGCATATCTCCAAAATACAACAATGAAAAGGCGATCCCCGTTGAAGATTTGGTTGTTCTTGGGATCGAAACGAGTTGCGATGACACAGCAGCTGCTGTGGTGAGTTCTTGCTTTTGATTTTTGCTGTTTCGTGGTTCTAGACGAGTGTTTACAATTTCGTGTTAGTTTAATTGAGAATTCTTGTTGTGAATCTAGGTCAGAGGTAACGGTGAAATACTCAGCCAAGTTGTGTCTTCTCAGGTAAGAATTTATAGTAATTCCAGCTTCAAAATACTCATAATCATCTTATCCTTTTCTAGTTTAGCTACACGAATTTTTTTTTTGTGTAAAATTTTGTTAATAGTTTATGCCTCCATGTAACTTCGAGCATCAAATGCTTCAAGGCAGATTTGCTTGCTCGGAATGGCGGTGTTGATCCTAAAATGGCAGGAGAAGCACATTCGCAAGTCATTGATCAGGTATAACATTTTAGTGATTTGAGCATTTCTTCTGTAATACACTTTTTCTTCAATTAATGTCTCTTGTTTATTAGAATTATTCATATTGGTGGTTGTTCTAAATAATGTTTCTGTCACCCTTTTGTATGTGAGAACTTGTTGCATCGGTCAATTGTATGTATGTTTGAGTTATGTGCAAAAATTTTAATTTCCCAAACAGCATCCACATGTTTAATTCCGATGCTTTGCGTTTTGAACTTTTAAATGCTAACACAGGCTCTCCATTTTGATTGTCAAGTGCAGGTTGTGCAAGAAACACTTGATAAAGCTAATTTAACTGAGAAGGATCTATCAGCAGTTGCCGTTACAATTGGTCCTGGCTTAAGCATCTGTCTTCGTGGTAATTTGAATGATATCTTTTGTTATAATCACTTATCCCTTTACTTGTTGATGCATCTAGCTGCTTGTGACATCAAACTCTAGTCGGCTTTGTGCAGGGGTTCAGCTTATTTTATGGATTGTAGTTATTGATTTCATATGACTTGTCTGCCTTACCTTGTTCTCAGAGACTTAGGATCGATATTGATATTTTTACGTTATATAGTGTGTCTGATTGTGGGTAATCAATTGGTGGAATGTTGTTGTGAGTAGGGAGAGTGTTGCTTATTTTGTGCAATTACTTTGCAGTTGGTGTGCAGAAGGCTCGGAAAGTTGCTGGTAGATTCAATCTACCAATTATCAGTGTGCACCACATGGAGGCTCATACTCTAGTAGCCAGGTATCAAAGACTCAAAGTAGCAACTCTCTTAAGGATATAGGCTACAGTTCAAACAAGCAACATTTGAATATTAATTTGCATCAAAACAGCTCTATTTCAGCACCATGTGTTATTTCACTTAAAATAAAGATGTGACTTTTAATGCATAGTTTTCCTTGGAAATTGCTTTCTACATCTGATACCATTGTTTTTTTTTATCTAGGCTAATAGAAAAGAACTTGCAATTTCCTTTCGTGGCCTTGCTAATATCAGGTACATATTCTAATTCCTTGTTAATTTTTGTGCCTTCGAGGGTTATGATCATTTCTGATTTCACTTAAACTATCCTGTAGGAGGACACAATCTCCTCATTCTTGCCCATGATCTTGGTCAGTACACGCAACTTGGGACAACAATAGATGATGCAATTGGTGAGGCTTTTGACAAGACAGCAAAATGGCTTGGCCTTGATATGAGGAGGAGTGGTGGACCAGCCATTGAGGAACTTGCAGGAGAGGGTAATGCAGAATCAGTCAGATTCTCAGTAAGTATTTTCTGTTAATTTTTGTACTTGTGTTACACTGTATTATCTAGAATGCATATTTGTGATTATGTTCAGTAAGTTAAGACAGATGAGGCCACTCCTTATTTTGTATGGTTGCTTCCTGAGTTTGGTGCTACTTTGTTTTCTCAGATTCCAATGAAACAACATAAAGATTGCAATTTCTCTTATGCTGGTCTAAAGACTCAAGTGAAGTTGGCAATTGCATCCAAAAATATGTATGTAGAATATGTTCACACCTGAGATAATTCTGAAGGTTTATTTGGTGTTTTTCATCTCATGGTGCAAATGCATTTGAATTGGTTCCTGTTCTTTGTTAGAATTCTTGTACTTGTTATCCAAAACAAACAATTATTATGGCCAATTTAAGGTTGATTGGATAAGGGAAACCAAAACTGAATTAAACGATGAAAAATTGTGATATTGGCTGCTAATTTGTTGAGGTGAACTGGGTCAACTGGATGGTAAAACATTTGAAGTAAACATTTTTACTGTCTGAACTCTGAAGTTTGCATTATTTGTCCTCTTAAAGTTGGTCTAATTGGCATGTAATTTTTGGTGTTAATGTGTGTCCTGCACTCTGCAGTGATGCTACAATTCCCATTTCATGTGCAAGTAGTCAAGACAGAAGTTCTCGTGCTGACATTGCTGCCTCTTTTCAGGTCAGGTTACTTCTATGTTTCTACCATTTCTTATTTTGTGACTTGGTGTTATAGAAAATTGTACTACTTGTGGCTACTTTGTTAGGCTGATTGCATATGTATGTATTCTTTATTTGTGTCCTTAACGTCTCTGTAATGCAGCGAGTAGCAGTATTACATCTGGAGGAAAGGTGTCAACGGGCAATTGAGTGGGCATTGAAAATTGAGCCTTCTATAAAGTCTCTGGTGATGCCAACTGCAACATTTTCTAATTTTTCTTTAACCTATCATATTGACTCTTTTTTCTTAACTTTCCCACTACATAGTGGCACTTGACAAATCTTAGTTTGCTTCTTCCAGGTAGTATCTGGAGGTGTTGCATCAAATCAATATGTAAGAGCTCGATTAAATCAGATTGTGAAGAACAATGGCCTGCAGCTAGTGTGTCCCCCTCCCAGTCTATGCACTGACAATGGTTAGTCACATTTCTTTTATTTTGGCTCAAAATTGTGAAGATGCAACCTATATCTATACCTACAATAGAAAACCTGGCAGAGAGGACTGCCATATGTGAAGGTTGAGGCAAATGATTACTGGACTCAGCCAGCCCCACTTAGATGTTTGATGCCATTGATTTGCAAAAAAAATGAGAACCAAGATATACAGTTGCAGATAATTATTCTTTTAATCAGCAGTTGCAGATAATTAATTAATTATTGCTTGCAAAAGTTAGATGTCCATGACCTCTTATAGAAAAGTAGTGCATCTATTTTCATGTGAAACAGGTGTTATGGTGGCTTGGACTGGTATTGAGCAGTTTGTTGTTGGAAGATATGACCCCCCACCACCTGTTAATGAACCAGAAGATTTTGTGGTATGTTGGAAAACTTTTATAACTGATGAGCGATGACTGAATTTGGTTTAAATGAGAAGCAATATATCTCTATATGGTTGCATTGTTAGTGCTACAAAATGTCTATAATTTAAATAGCTGTTCACCGTCAGACACTTTTACCTCATTCTAGTCATTGTACCCTGCATTCACATGTTTGGCTCTTTGAACCAGTATGATGTGCGTCCAAGGTGGCCATTAGGGGAGGAATATGCTGAAGGAAGAAGCAAAGCTCGCTCATTGAGAAGGGTCCGGATTTATCCATCTCTCACATCTCTTGTACAGGCATCTCTTCAACAACAATGATAGTGTTAAAACAGTATCACAAAATGTGGGTAATCAGTTAATAGATCCAAGAACCAAACCCCATCTGTGGATTATACATATCTCGAATGTTGCAATGATGTCTTCTTCGCTTAACCAAGTGTATTAGCAAATGGAATATGTTTGCTTGGATGGCAGTGGTTCAGAAGATGAAGATGGGCATTCCAAGCAGAGTTGTGAAATAATCGACTTCCTTTTTCACTTTTTCTTCATTCCCCTTTTGCAGATATTGTAATTTAAATTAAAATGTTGTCTTCCGTTTTTATAGATGAAATTCAGAAAATATCCGGCTTCTATTTAAGTTAATACTTTCTGTTGTTTTTTTTTTTAACAACTATAATTTTTGAGAAAAAATTTCAGTATACATGAGTACCAAATAGAAAGGCATTGATTGAAAATATCCAATACTCATTCTCCATTATATAGAACAAAGACTTGATTGGATGCAACATGCCAAACATAAAATCTAAAAGCTGTTAAAAGTTGCTATTAACCAGAATACAATATATTCTACCATAATGCGCATTTATTCCTATTTTTTTATTATATTTGGAACATAATTCTTGATAGTTGAACAACAAATGAACAGACAAAAAAATCCAATTAAGATTTACACTTTCTCTTGTTCCTTTATTACAAACCATACCTACAAAAACTTGGAGAACTAAAACGCAGTAAGCCTGTATAACAATCTCTTCTCCTTATTTTATAAAATTGGAAAAAAAAAAAAAAAACTAATATTATGGTAATGATAGAGAAAGAGAAGAAAATGCAGCAATAAGAGGAGTTTTAAACTGATATGAACTGATATTTTATTTCACTAATAACAGCCTTTATATAGGCAGAAAACATCAACAATACAACTAAATAAATCGCAACTAAATCCTAAAAATAAGACTACATGGCTAACATGCAGATTGACACGTCCTGCACTGTCCTAAAGAGTAACTAATAAACAAACTGGTTCCTAGATAATAGGTGACAGTAAAACTGCAATAGGATCAGGATTATCAAATCAACAATAATAATAATCAGATCTATTATGGCACCTTCTCGTACTGAATCGGAACAGACTTTGCATTTGGAAATGCAATTTTTGCATAACCTGATTGGATGATAATCATATCAACATCATAATCCGAAGCTTTGCTCTTCATCTTTTTTGCCCTGTCTTGAATACTCACCTTTATGACTACTCCAGTCTTACAGAAATGAGGTGATCCCTCGCTAATACACCAGACATTAAATCTTCTCCCGCACCCAGCTCCGCTATCCCATAATCTGTCACTTACTGCGACAGGATAGATTGAGTCGGGCAGCTTCGGTGAACCGTTCTTCTCTTCACAGGCAGTTCGTGAGAAACGAGTCGGAGTATAATAAGACGCGGTTCCCGTTGGTGGATCCACACCGGCATGGGATAAAACCAGGGGTAGGACTCCGAAAAGAGCGATGACAAAGGAGATGATCATCCACTCGGTTAGCTTTCTCATGGTTGGATTTCTCATTGTTGCCTATTTCTTTGCTTGGAGACTTGCATGCCCTTTTGTAAACACTAAACATGCAGACTGTAGACATGTTAAAAAAAAAAACATGCAGACTGTAGATGTTGCTTTGGTGATGACCATCTACAGTCTTTAAAGCGAACTTCCATTTTCCCAGTTTGCCATGCAATGTTGCTTTAGTGATGGCCTTTTTAGTCATTTTGCTTCCAAAAATTGTTTCTCGGGGAAAATCGCGTTGAAACCAGTGTTTTTGGGCCTGGCCCGACCCCGGCTTAAAACGGGCCGGTTGGATACTTCAGCCCGTTCTGTCAAATGGCCCGTTTTAACCCGTCAAAACTCGCCCCACTCGCTAGGCCCGCTGGATCTGTGCAGCCCGCTCCAATCGGCCGGGCTGAATTAAACTCTGCAAAACCCAGAACAGGGCAACCACCAACCATTGACGAGCTCCGGATCTCAAGTCTCAGATGCTCAGCCGCCTCCGTCGACGGCTCCACAGCTCACCGTCTAGCCCATCACCACTCACCTTCGGCTCCTTGCTCCACTGGACAGAAGCAGCAAAGCAAAACACCTCCGTCGGCAGCTCTACAGCTCACCATCCAACCCATCATCGCTCACCTTCGGCTTCATCCTCCACTGGACAGAAGCAGCAACACAAAGCAAAATAGAATCAACAGATCTGCCTCACTCCTCCGCCTATCACCTCCTTCTCCTTCCTCCACCAAACAAAAACAGCAAAGAAAAACAAAAATGGAATATGTTTGCTTGGATGACAGTGGTTCAGAAGATGGGCATTCCAAGCAGAGTTGTGAAATAATCGACCATCTTTTTCGCCTTTTCTTGATTCCCGTTTTGCAGATATTGTAAATTTTAATTAAAATATTGTCTTCCGTTTTTATAGATGAAATTCAGAAAATTTCCGGCTTCTATTGAAGTTATTACTTCCTATTTCCCTTTTTTCTTTATTTTTAACATTTACAAATTTTTAGAAATAAAAAGGGGAATTAGATCAAGAGCCTTCAAATTTTAATCGACGGAGTAACAAGTAGTATCATTTTCACCTCTCTTATAAATAAGGTTATAAATAAGGTTATAAATAAGGTTTTATTAATTCCTATTCCCTGTGCGTTTAATTTCAGAAAGTTAATATGAAAGCCTCAAAAATAGAAACACAACGCAAAACATTTTTGTTTTTCTCCTAAAAAAAAGGGGAAAATTCCTCTGTTGGTCCTTTTTAGCCCCTAACTTTCAATTCCGAACATTTTGGTCCCAAACCTTTTTTCTAATGCATGACAGGTATTCCATATTGGCAGAATGGGTTGGTTTTTCCTTCGGGGCCCATGAAGGGGTTTGAGGTTGATTTGACCCGACTAAGAGGCGGTATTTTCCATTTTAGGCGCCAAAAGGAGGATCTGAGGCTAGGCGGGATAGAAAGTGAGGGAGACGAAAAGATGGATGTATGGAGGCTACCGATATCGGCGTCGCTGAGAGGAAAGCTAATCTCCGCCGGCTACACTTCCGTCACGTCGCTTTCTTCAGTCTCCTCCGCTAATCTTGCTCAAGGTGATACTCTTTCTTTCTCTTCGACGATGTTGGCACACTCCTTAAACCTTCCAGTTGTTTGATTTTATTACTGACTGAACTCGAATTTTTCAAACCTGAGAAGTTCTATTTGAATCTGAAAGATTAGTATGCCTGGAATGTTTTCTAATTCTGTATGTTTCTTGACAGATCTAAATATTTCGAACAGTGAAGCTCTTAATGTTCTGAAGGTTGCATCCCATAGCGGTGGATCGGAGTGCTTGAATGAGAATCCTTCGATTATAAATGGTATTCATGCTTCCTGATTCTTGTTTAGGGTTTAGGATGATTATATTTTACTTGGAATGATAAATTATCGATAGAATGGTTCACTATGTTATGGTGAAGCATGAATGCATTCCCTTGATAATGAAATTTGTTGGTTCTGGTTTCATATTTCCTCCTGGAAAGAAGAATTATTAGTTTGTGTCAATATGGTCAATTCACCTTACCTACTATATTATGTAGGTGCACAAAATGCTTGGGATTTGCTTCATGAGGAGGAGTCCTTGACACACATCACAACATCTTGTGCAGATCTAGATGGCATCTTGGGTGGTGGAATACATTGCAAAGAAGTTACTGAAATTGGTTAGCCATATTGTTTCTCCTTTTTGGACCATACTTCATTCTAGTTTTGAATTTTTTTTAAATGATAAACAATTGGCAACTTTTTGTTGATGAGTAGATTGTTTTTCTCTAATTCTTATAGGTGGAGTACCTGGCATTGGTAAAACGCAACTGGGGTAGGGGTTGTTCTCCTAGTTTATTTGCAGGATATTTTGGTTCGTTCTGGGAGTAAATCTGTCTCAATTTACAGGATTCAACTTGCTGTCAATGTTCAAATTCCACATGAGTTTGGTGGGCTTGGAGGAAAAGCAATATATATAGGTAATTTTTGATGATTTGAGTGCTTGTTCTTTATTTCTTTATACCAGAGAAAGCCATTAGACTAAGGGATCTTGACATTGTGTTCATTTTGTGTATAGATACAGAAGGTAGTTTTATGGTGGAGCGTGCATTACAAATTGCTGATGCATGCATAGAGGACATGTCAGAATACAACAGATTCTTAAGAAAAGATTGTCAACCATGCCAAATGAAAATGGAACCGAAGGATATCCTGGAAAAGATATTTTATTTTCGCATCTGCAGTTACACTGAACAAATTGCTTTGATAAATTACTTAGACAAGTTCATTGCAGAACATAAAGATGTAGGTCTAAGTGGTAATATGTTGGCCTAGAATACTTGCTAAGAAGCACCAAGTAAATAATTTATTTTCCTGGTTACAGGTTAAGGTGGTTGTTGTTGATAGTGTTACTTTTCATTTCCGCCAAGATTTTGAGGACATGGCCCTCAGGACTCGAGTGCTTAGTGAAATGGCTCTAAAGCTGATGAAGTTGGCCAAAAAATTTAGTTTGGCGGTAAGACAAGTTTGCTCCTTCAGTGTAAATTTTAACTGTTTTGATAAATTCCTTTTCAAGTAGATGTAATCTGATGATGGGCAAGCAAGCTGTATCCCCTTTTTCATTTTTCTTCTTCTGATTGCGGTCCTCCCCTCTCCCCCTCCAAAAAAGGAAAAATTGCTTGTAAGCAATTAATTTTTAGCAGATTGTTTGGGTCTGCTAGTGGTCCTTGGACAGAGCTAATTATTGAATGTTTTTCCTCTAGCTGTGCAACATGCATTCAACTTTTCTTAACTATATACATTTATGAGACAATTTATGTGCCTTATAATGTCGATCTTAGATTTTCTACTTTGGTTGTACATTTACTATTTCTGGCATACCTTCTTTTGACAGGTTGTTTTACTGAATCAAGTAACCATGAAGCATGCAGAAGGTTCCTTCCAATTAACTCTTGCACTAGGTAGATAAATACTCAAAATTCTCTATTGGCTGTGTCTTGAAAATTTTCATTTCCATCACTGTTAGTCACATTTCTTAACATTAGTAGTTAAATGTTACTGAGTAGGAGATAGCTGGTCACATTCATGTACAAATCGGGTCATTTTATACTGGAAGGGCGATGAGCGTCATGCATATATTGACAAGTCACCCTCTCTCAGATCAGCTTCAGCTCCATATTCTGTCACTACAAGAGGAATCCGGAATTCTGCTTCAAGCCATAAACGAATCAAAATGATGTGAAGTTCAGATAGCAAAGTAAAATGTGGAAAGGCTCCTCTTACACCTTTTCTTATGATGATTGACACACAAAAGCAAAAGTGAGAGCTCTCGTCCCTCTGCTTACTCAGCTGATAGTTATTGAATTGTTAAAATCTGAGTAAAAGGTTCTCTACTTTTGTTCCCACAAATGCTTAAAGGGTGTTTGTACCGAGATCCATCATATTCATAAATCATAATGAACAAAACAGTTTTCTCAAAAATACTAGTAGCAGATTAACCCTTTGATCGTCTAAGAGAATAGGATGGCAAAACATTAGTTTCAAAGAGAACACCCTACTGTGTTATTTATCTAAGGCTTAGCTCACATGGATGCTAGAAGTAGGTACTGAGCTAAGTTTGTGAGGATCTAGTGGTTGGTGGTCCCTCGTGTTTTTCTGAAAAAATGCATAAAATTACCTGAGATTTGCACATTGTACCAATATTTGCTTGAATGTTATTAGTATAAATTAATGCTGAGAATGTGAAATGGCATTGAAGGTTTGAATCTTAGAGAGCACTTTCCCTAGCTAACTTTTTCTATGATAATCTTTTAACAAAATTTCAACATTATGCGGGTTGCTTGTCGTTCCTAGACTTTCTATCCACCTCATCATTTTGAATTATAATTGCCATTTGCCAACAACCTGCCTGCTGTTGCCGTTGGATGATGCCTTTTCGGGATTTTTTTTTTTTAAATAATCGAGAGATAATTTTTTTACATAATTTTTTTACATAATTTTATATGTTATTTAATAATTAATTTTTTTATACTATTAAGATCTTATGATATTATATGTGTCTATTAATTCAAGAATATGTAAAAATTTTGTAAAAGTATTTTATGAAAAGGTTGTGTATATCATTACCCTTTTTATTTAGTGGGAAGATACCACTGCCACATTTAGTTTCTTTTATTTTTTAGTTAAATTTTGTTTTTTGTTTTTTTTTTTTAGATCTCTCCAACCTTCCTGCATTTTCTTAGGAGTCATTTGAATATTATTTTTTGTACGTTATTTGAAAATTATTCTGTTTAGTAAATAATTTGATCAGAATATATTTTAATTGGGTTCACCGTATAGCCATAGAAAATTTAAATTAGTTTTTTTATGTTAGATTTGATTTCTTAAATACAGGAAATACAAAATTGCCTACATGGCAGTCGATTTGTTGAAAACCGTATGTTAAATATCTATTTTTCTTTAATTTTCTTTTATAAAATTGTATAAAAAAATATTTTTCGTGTCAATATATGTAGAAAAAATTATTAATGCTCATAAAATTACTTTTGAAATATCTTTAATTAAGAGTGCGTTTGGAATTATTGTGAAGTACTGTAGTTGTAACTGTGACTGTGTTCATCGTGGTTGTACTGTACTGTAATTGTGACTGAAAGTTATTTTGGTGTTTGGTTATTTATTTTTTTAAAATATTATAGATGAAATATGATAGATTTTATTAATTATTAATTAAAATTTTAAAAATATTGTAAGATATAATTATTAAATATATAATATTTATTATTTTTTAATAATTTAGGTTTTTAAAATTTTTTAATTATTAAAATATTATAAATTATGATATAATTAAATTATATAAAATTGAGTTTTAATGAATAATTTTATAATTATATTAAATATTAGGTATTTTTTATAAAAGTCACAGTCAAAAGGTTTCAAAATGAGATTTTTGAGTTTATAAAATTACTGTAAATTTACTGTATCTGTCTATAGTTTTTAAAAAATGCAATTTGAAAAAAAATTATCAAACATACATATATCTAAAAATTCTATGTGGTTACACGAAAAACTTTCCAATCGCAATCCTAAACACACCTTAATTCTTTTTATGTATTTTAATTAATTTCAAAGGTATTTTTACATTTTTTTTGCGTCTAATTCCACATAAAAAGTCACGGACAAAAGGG